TATGGCCTACACAAGCTGAAGAGACAAAAGAAAATGAAGGAAGAAAGATCTTAACAAGAAAATTCACTAACTATATCCTGTGTAGAGGATCATACGTAGTAATCATAGCAAAAGAAAGCATTACTCCAGAGCTTACAATATGAAGAAAAACACTGAAAAAGCGAAGAATGACTCAGATGATGAGGGTTTGCACATATTCAACATTAATAAAAAGCAAGTTGGAATAAATAGTTGGTAAAGCTCTGATTAGCATTAGAAGTGACGAGAAGTAGAAAAATAAAGAGGAAATTAAATGCAAGACAGTGGAATAATAATAAATGTACCAGGCTTGCACCTTGGAAGAAAAGGAAAAAAAATGTTCAATCAGGCAAAGTCAAATGAAAATTGCTTTGTGGAATGATGATAATACCCTTCAAGACATTGTGAATTCTAATCAAGATGAAACAGTCAATCTGTTCACTTAGTAACAAAGCATTTGACTCCTGCACAAGTCCAAGCTGCTGTATGTGTTTGAAGAAAATGAGATGTCATCCCAATATGCTATACGTACAACAGGTGAAAGTAATTCAGCCAGTACATCATCTGCTTTACACAGTCGCCAGCATTAGAATAAGGAATAATTTTAACACTGAAATAGACAGAAAAATAAAGCATCATTAATAATTTTACATAATCTACAAATTACATAAGCAGCATGCCAGCCATAGGAAAAGCAAGATTTTGATGAGGCCTATTCAGCCTTCCTGGATGAGCAAGGGTAGCATTTTAGCATACACTGGTACCGGCATGTAGGTTTAGGTGTTGAGAACATTGTTAGAAGTGAATTTTGCAGCAGAATAACAGCTCTGCCAGCCCCCCTCACAAGTCGTCATTATCTCTGATGATATTCAGGAATGTGATATATGGGATGCCTGTTAGGATGATGGTCATTCATCAGAATCAACACTTTTTATTAGTAGATAAAATTCAATGCAAACAAAAATAAGAAGAGGTTGTTTTCTACTTCAGTTTCATATACAGAGAAGGAAACCAAGGAAACACAATGGTTATGAGAAAGTAAAAGTAGATTGTACCATGCCTACCCTTACAGCTATTAACTTGGGTAGTATTGGATTTTGCAGAGTATCTTATCACGTCTCTCTCAAACCTTAGACATAACAAAGCATTGAGACCAAAATGGAGAGAGAACACAAGCATGCTATACGTGCACAACTGGTGACCTTACAGGTTGATCCAGTGAGGCAAGACTGGCAGCACTGTTATTATAAAAGAGACCTCTGGTAATTTTTGTGTCACCAAGAAAACAAACAGGTTGGCAAGGGCTGTGCAATGTTTCCACAGTGAAAAGTTTAAATTCTCTGATGGGGAAAACAAAACTTTTTTCTTCCAAAAACAAAAATCTCATAAACAAATAATTTGAAAAATCATTGCTACTCCCAAGTATCAGCAGCATACAATACTGAAACATTAACATTTGAATTTATTTAACAACTTCAAGACGAACCACTGAGTAGAGCTGACTCCTTATTGAGAGCAGCCTTGTACCAGAAAAACAAGGTGACTAAATCATAACACAAGAAACATAGTATTACCACAGAACTGGAGAAATAGGAAAAGCACACAAAGTTTTCCTCAGACAGCGACAGTCTATGCTAGTTTCAGGAGTGTTGGAAAATATTGAGAATAAAAAGCACAAGATAAAGATGAGCTCATGCTCACATCCATCATCCTGCCAAAATGGTCTAAGACCAGAAAAATGGCCCTGTGTACTTCCCAGGAATGACAGAACTGTGGAGGCAAATGGAACATAAGATTACAGGCAACTGAGTCATAATTACCCAAAACACTGAGAATAGAAACTCTCAGAGAAATGGGGGTTCGGTTTGTAAAAGATGTAGCTAAAGAGAGTAGGAAACGCCACATACTGAGAAGATGAGCTTGAACATGAGTACATGTAACAAAATAGAACAGAAGTATATAGGGTCTTCAACAGGCATTAAAGCAAACTAAATAACAGTTTCTTCCCAAAGGGAAACAAAAGATGGAAACATATTTTAATATTACAGGCAGCAAGTCAGACTTTTAGAAACCAGGCAGAATGTCAGACGCTCCCACAGCACTCACTGAGGACATAGCAGTGAAGTGTTTAAGCATTCCTGAACTACGTAGTTCCAATCATGAGATCTCAGTTTACTTTAAATTAGATAATATATTTATTTGAGAACAAGAATTTGATTTCATCTGACTATC